TCTCTGATATTGTTGAGACATCTTCAGGTTTTCCATGATAACAGAAGCCCATTTGTTTTCCTTACACTGCTGCAGTCTGGAGCTTGAGGAGCTGTGTTGCATCACTTCTTCTGAGGTAATGTGGAGGTAGGGACAGAGTTCAGCTGCGCTGAGGTGCACTCTCTATTAGCATCTCTCTTAGCATCTGCCTGTTCTTCTGAGATGCTATTGTAGATTCTCTACCAGGGACACATGTCTGTTAGGATATCCTTTATGGGTACCCTTAGGCTTTGGATGGCTTATTATACTCAATATGAGGCTCTTTTTTTTTTTTTTTTTTTTTTTTTTGAGATGGCTTCTCGCTCTGTCATCCAGGCTGGAGTGCAGTGGCATGATCTCGGCTCACTGGAACCCCTGCCTCCTGGATTCAAATGATTCTTCTGCCTCAGCCTCCTGAGTAGCTGGGAGTACAAGCATGCGCCACCATGCCCAGCTAATCTTTGTTTTTTTTTTTTTTTTTTTTTTTTTTTTTTAGGGTTTCACCATTTTTGCCAGGCTGGTCTTGAACTCCTGACCTCATGATCCACCCATCTCGGCCTCCCAAAGTGTGCCTCCTGGATTCAAATGATTCTTCTGCCTCAGCCTCCTGAGTAGCTGGGAGTACAAGCATGCGCCACCATGCCCAGCTAATCTTTGTTTTTTTTTTTTTTTTTTTTTTAATAGAGAAGGGCTTCACCATATTGGCCAGGCTGGTCTTGAACTCCTGACTGGGCGATCCACCCATCTCGGCTCTCCCAAAGTGCTGGGATTACGGAAGTGAGCCACCGCACCCAGCCAAATCTTCTCTTTTATCTCAGAGAATCAGCTTAGTGTTCATATTCTTCCATTTTGTCTCCAAAAGTTGTTCCATTCCTCCTCAGGCAGAAGAGAAGAAAGGTAAGAGCCCCCATTCAGTTTGCTTCTGCCTATATCTGGTGAATTTAGTGAGACATCTCAGGATTCTCCCACAGTCCTGCTTCTGGGAGGCTGGGGTGGGATAAGTATACTTTTTTTTTCTTGAGACAGAGCCTCAAGCTGTCACCCAGGCTGGAGTACAGTGACATAATCTTGGCTCCCTGCAACCTCCGCTTCCCAGGTTCAAGCGATTCTCCTGCCTCAGCCTGCTAAGTAGCTGGAACTACAGGTGTCTACCATCATGCCTGGCTAATTTTTGTATTTTTTGGTAGAGATGGATTTTACCACATTGGCCAGGCTAGTCTCGAACTACTGACCTCAAATGATTCACCTGCCTTGGCCTCCCAAAGTGCTGGGATTACGGGCTTCAGCCACTGCGCCCGGCCACCTTGTCTTTGTACATTTTTTTTTTTTTTGAGACAGAGTCTCGCTTTGCCGCCCAGGCTGGAGTGCAGTGGCCGGATCTCAGCTCACTGCAAGCTCCGCTTCCCGGATTTACGCCATTCTCCTGCCTCAGCCTCCCAAGTAGCTGGGACTACAGGCGCCCGCCTCGTCGCCCGGCTAGTTTTTGTATTTTTTAGTAGAGACGGGGTTTCACCATGTTAGCCAGGATGGTCTCGATCTCCTGACCTCGTGATCCACCCGTCTCGGCCTCCCAAAGTGCTGGGATTACAGGCTTGAGCCACCGCGCCCGGCCGTCTTTGTACCTTTCTACCTTGATCCAAAATCTCCTCCAGAGTTTGAATTTCAAGTATAGAGCCTCCACCAAGTTCACTTAAATTTGCTTTTTTCCAATCACTGTTGCCAAATACCCAATATTAGTTTGTCTATTACCCTTGGTGTTTGGAAAAATTGAAACTGATTTTCTTCTGCTGTGACACCACAACAACAATCGACACAGAAGACTCTGTGACCAAATGGGCGGGGGTTTTCTCCCACACACCAAGCAGGGGACGCCAGCTAGGTGTCCTCCCTCTTATTCAATTCAATTCTGATGCTGCCTACCTGGAGATAGCTGTAGATCCCACAAGTTGAAGGCTCAGTCCCCAACACTGGCCCCTCCTTTCCACCACTCACAAGTCTGGGCCTCGGGAACTTTTGACTGACCGGCTTCAAGTTGGGGTTTACAAAACTCCCTCTTTGGGTTCAATTAATTTGCTGGAGTGACTCAAAGAACTCAGGAAACACTGATGTGGACCAGTTTATTATGAAGAATATTGCAAAAGATACAGATGAAAAGATGCATAGGGTGAGGTATGGGGTAAGAGGTAGGGAGTTTCCATGCCCTCCCTGGGCACACCACCCTCCAGGAATCTTCACATATTCTGCTGTCCAAAAGCTCCCTGAGCCCTGTCATCTGGGCCTTTTATGTTCATTGTGTAGGCATGATTGAAGCATGGACAGCCGTGTCAAGGTGTGATTGACTTCTCTGTGCAGCTGTCCTTCCTCCAGGGTATGAGGCAGGACCCTGTTTGCAATGAGGGTTAATGATCCATAATCAGAAAGGTGTGGGATGATTAGAGTCATGCCTTTGATGAGTGGAAGGAGAGCAGAAGGTAAGTGAGAGAGAGAGAAAGAGAGAGAGAGAGAGAGAGGGAGACGGATTTTGTTTTCTGAGGCCTAAAGTGCCCCAACATTATAACAAAAGACTGTGAGTTATGAACCAGGTACCATAGCTGAAAACCTACATATACATGTATCATCATATCACACTTGGCAAGCAACTCTTTGTACATTTCTGTAGCCCTGCAGTGTTCATTCTCTGACTTGGTGTGTCTCCCTGATCTGCCTCTTTGTTCTGCTGCTGTCCTAGAAGTTAGAGAATTAAAAAAAAATTCCTTGGCTTTTTGGTAGAAAGAAACTCCCACACTGGGTCCAAGCTGAAAATGAATCCCTTACTGGGTGAAAAACATGGATGCGGTTACAGGTCCTGGGTGTAAATGCTCATAGCATTACTGTTGAACCATTTTATGCTGATACATTCTCTGGACATTCTTCCCTTTTGGTTTATTCCTCTTTTTTCTCCTGTTGCTACTTAGAACCATCCTTGTCAACTATCTACATTTTACTATTAAATTATTCATATAATGTTGGTGATTTCAAAGTTTTCTTGTATTATTTTTGGTCATTTGGTCAAAAGGCACTGCCTCCATTTTACAAGTTAGCATGTATCCAGAGGCCCTGTTCTGCAACAAAAGTGCAAGTGACTCAGTGGCAATATGTCTAAGAAAATGTTAATTTTTAGGGTAAAAATTTTATTAGAAACTGTCTTTGGGGAATACAATATTAGTTAATGTTTACACATGTTTTTAAAGGAAGGCAAAAGATTGCCACTAAAAATAAATTCTTACTGAAAGCATCTCTATCTACTCTCTCCATTTTTAAAGTACCTCACATGTTATCTTTGTTTTCATTTGTTAAATGCAAGGTCATCCTTTGAATGTCGTCTCCAACTATACTTGAAATAGTTTGAGACCCAGCAGATACCATCTGACCAGGTGGTATCAGCAGACAGTGGGCAGTACAGTTAGAGGAAAAAAATGTTGCAGGGCTCCATTCCCCAAAAAATCCTACAATAAAAAATTCAAAAATTTCAATAAAGAGGAAAACGACAAAGAGGTTTTCCAAAGGATATTCACATTCTCTATTTAAAAATCCCACTGGGCCGGGTATGGTGGCTCAGGCCTATGATCCCAGCATTTTGGGAGGCGAGGGTGGGTAGATCTCTTGAGCCCTGGAGTTCAAGACCAGCTTTGGCACCATGGTGAAACACTATCTCTACCAAAAATACAAAAATTAGCCAGTCTCATAATCTGCTGTTAAATACATATATTAAAATTTAAAAATAAATAAATAAAAAACCCCACTGATATGAACATTTCTTCCATTTTAGAGTAAAGGTGCCTACAAGGTTAGGCAATGTCCATATTTCTTTCCTGAATGTTTTCAATGGGGCTGCGCCTGGAGCAGACATATCATAAATACTAATTACTTATTATAATGACCAAGCTACATTGTCAGTATAGAATAATTCCACAGGCTTCCCTATTGGTTTGTCTGATCCTAAGCCTATTAATACCTGCTTATATGTCAGAAAATCTACATTAGGCCAGGCGGACGCCTGTAATCCCAGCACTTTGGGAGGCCTAGGCAGGCGGATCACCTGAGGTCAGGAGTTCGAGACCAGCCTGGCCAACATGGCAAAACCCCACCTCTCCTACTCAGGAGGCTGAGGCAGGAGAATCGCTTGAACCCGGGAGGCAGAGGTTGCAGTGAGCCGAGATCGTGCCACTACACTCCAGCCTGGGTAACAAGAGTGAAACTCCGTCTCAAAAAAGAAAAAAAAAAAGAGAAAAAAAGAAAAAGAAAATCAACATTAGACTCTGAAACAGTCCAGGCGTGGTGGCTCATGCCTGTAATCCCAGCATTTTGGGAGGCTGAGGCAGGTGGATTTCCTGAGATCAGGAGTTCCAGACCAGCCTGACCAACATGGCAAAACCCTGTCTCTACAAAAAATACAAAAAAATTAGCCGGGCATGGTAGCAGGCACCTGTAATCCCAGTAATACGGGAGGCTGAGGCAGAAGAAAAGCTTAAACCCGGGAGGCGGAGGTTGCGGTGAGCCGAGATCGCGCCATTGCACTCCAGCCTGGGCAGCAAGAGCAAAACTCCATCTCAAAAAAAGAAAAAAACAAAACAAAACACTCTGAAACAAAATATTAATGGCCGGGTGAGGTGGCTCACGCCTGTAATCCTAGCACTTTGGGAGGCCGAGGCGGCTGGATCACCCGAGGTCAAGAGTTCAAGACCAACGTGGCCAAAATGGTGAAACCCCATCTCTACTAAAAATACAATAATCAGCCTGTTGTGGTGGCATGTGCCTGTAATACCAGCTACTCGGGAGGCTGAGGCAGGAGAATCGTCTGAACCCAGGCGGTGGAGGCTGAAGTGAGCCTAAAAAAAAAAAAAAAAAAAAAAAATATATATATATATATATATATATATAATTTTGATACATGTTTTAAAGCTCACCTTTGGCATTATGAGATAATCCCTCAAGTGAGGAAAAAGGTCCATTTTTTAATCTCAAAGAAAACAGTTACAGCAGATGTCATTGGTTAAGAGTTCAGTTGGTGAATAGCATTTCACAATTTGTACTAACATCTAGGGAAAGAAGCTTTGCATGGAACTGTAAAACAACTGAGCACTAAATCTGCACAACTGCGTTTCTAGAAAATGCAATGGGTTTTATAGAGATGAGGTCTTGCTATGTTTTCCAGGATGGACTCGAACTCCTGGCCTCAAGCGATCCTCCAGCCTCAGTCTCCCGAAGCGCTGGGTTTACAGGCGTGAGCCACCACCCGAAATGGATTTTAAGTGAAAGTCCTATCTTCGTTTGCAAATCAATTTTTCCAGGATCAAAGTTCTAGCAACCATAAATACTATCCTTCTAGACATAGGGACCCACATAAGGGCCACTTGATGTGACACTTGCCCCGACAGCGGTGCCACCTGGCCTCTAGGTGGCAGGTGCGTTTTTAACTAAACCCGAGTCTAAAGTCACATTATTCTCTTGCCTTGAAAGCTTAAGAGCTGGTTCCTAATCGGTGGCTAAACTCGGTCTCTCTCCAGGCAAGGCCACCTGTTTGCTGATCTTTCACTGGGAGAGGGGACTGGAGCCCTTCAATGCAGCGCCCTCTTGGCCTGAAGAGGGGGCGACCAGGCGCCCAGCCAGTCTCTCCCACCGAGGTCCCAGCTCCTGGGCGCCTGCCTCTTTTCAGATTCGGCTCATTCCGCAATAAGCGGAGGGGTCCCGCCGGTTCCTAGGGGCCGGGGCCCTTTTCCTTCCTTCCCCGCGCTTCCGAACCCCTCTGGGCCTCTCCAGAGCCACGACCTAGGCTGGGGACCCCAGGGGCGGGCGGCCGAGGGGCGGCGCGAGCGCCATGACGCGAGGCGGCGCCGGCCAATGGGAGCGCCTCGCGGCGCCGGCCGAGCCGCCGGGCCATAAAAAGGAGGTGAGGCCCGGCTTTCCAGCCTGTGGCTGCCCCCGGCTCGGAGTGTGACCTAAACAGGTCGCGCACCTTCCTCAGGTGACTCCGGCCACAGCCCATTGTCCGCGGCCACCGGCGGAGTTTAGTCGCAGACCTCGAAGCGCCCCGGGGTACTTCCCGAACGGCAGCGGCTGCGGCGGGTCCATGGAGAAGGGCCCTGTGCGGGTCCCGGCGGAGAAGCCGCGGGGCGCCAGGTGCAGCAATGGGTTCTCCGAGCGGGATCCGCCGCGGCCCGGGCCCAGCAGGCCGGCGGAGAAGACCCCGCGGCCCGAGGCCAAGAGCGCGCAGCCCGCGGACGGCTGGAAGGGCGAGCGACCCCGCAGCGAAGAGGATAACGAGCTGAACCTCCCCAACCTGGCAGCCGCCTACTCGTCCATCCTGAGCTCGCTGGGCGAGAACCCCCAGCGGCAAGGGCTGCTCAAGACGCCCTGGAGGGCGGCCTCGGCCATGCAATTCTTCACCAAGGGCTACCAAGAGACCATCTCAGGTCAGTGCGCCCGCGGGCTGCTCTGGCGTGCGGGCGGCGGGGGCGGTGCTTGCAGGAAACGCGCGCCGGCTCCAGGAAGTTTCCGGAGTTGCCTCACTCTTGGCGCAGGGAGCCGGGCGCTGTCACCTCCGAACCCGCCCTAACCCGCTGCCCTGCTGAGGCCCTGCGTGGGGCACAGTCGGGGCGCCCTGGGTGGCAGCGACCTCTCAGCCCCAGGATTCGCTGCAGCCGCCTTTCAGGGGCCCTTCCCGCTTCCAGCGCGCAGCACTCCTAGAGCGCCCCGGGTGGGCGTGGACGGGAGCCTGGAGCCCTCTCGCCTGAGCGCCCAGCGCGGGATTCTTGGGGCACCTGCGGTTCCAAACTTGCCCACGATAAGGATCAGCTGGGCACTTGCTGGGGCGACGGCTTCCTGGGTAGTTCCTTATTGAGATCCCATTGTCGGGTGTATATCTGGATTGAAGCCTTGGCGCGATCCTTCCCCGCAGCCTCGGGGACCTCCACTCTCACTGATTTGCCAGGGGATCGGAGTCTTAGAGTTGTACTTTTGTCCACCTCAAGTTTACTCCAGTTCAGGACATTTACAAAATTCGGCACAATTTTGGGCACGGGCTTCCCCGGAGTTTGAGGTGTGAGATTGATTGGGTGAGTTGGCTGCTGAAATCTGTTTCCTCCCCCCACCCCCAACCGCGCAAAAAGCAGTGAAGCTACTCCGGGGTTCGGAGGGCTCCCTGGGTTCCAGGACTCAGTCTCATCCCCGCACCCTCCCACCCTAAAATAAAGCCGGGTTGACCCGGTGCTGTTAGCATCTGAGGCGTGTCAGCTTTTCACCCAGAGGGTGGGGATGCAATCAGTGTGGGTAGGATGCAAGGTGGGGTGATGGAGAGTGGAAAATGGGGACTTTGCTGCCTGTTGGCTGGAGAAGCAGTGTTGGTCTATATTTAAAACAAATAAAGCTTCTGGCTTCTACAGCTGGGACCAAAGACATTATTTTCCAGTCTACACCTTCCGTGTATCTTGGTGACATTTAGTTCTTTGGCCTAAGAAGCATTCTGCTGTTCACTGTTTTCTGAAATAAAAACAGTGCTCTAGAAAGGCAATCTCCCTGCCCCAGTTATTTCTCTGAAGGAGTGTGGAGCGATTCCACCCAATAGACCCTGGGAAAAAGAAAGTTATTTTTTCCGCAGTCTTCCACACCCCAAAGGAAGGGTGGGAAATCAGAAGGCGAAAGAGGCGGGGCCCCAAAAGGAAATGATGCTGCACTCTAAAACCGGGAATGACTTCCAGTTCTGTGTCCAAGTTCACTTTTTTTACCCCTCGATTGCAAAAGTTTGGAATCTCAGAAGCAGTTTCAAAATGCAAAGACTGAAGAATAAACTTTCAGTTTTCTGTGGGTTCAGCTCTTTGGAGATCTAGGGCTTTAAATGTGTGTGTGTGTGTGTGTGTGTGATATTCCACAATGTAATGAAATGTCTTAAGGCCTTGCTCATTTTACCCCTTGCAGACGCAGAAAGTGGTTTACTCCACAGCATCGGCCAGGCTTTGGGAACCCTCCCCTAAGAGAATTCATAGGACAGTGTTCTGTAATCTAGCATGGATCTAATTACCCAAAGAGAGAGGGATTTCTGACCCTGAGATAGGTCACAGAATTACCTAAAGTGACTCACAGATTTACTTGAGAAATGGTTAGCAGAAATATCTCATGAGTGAAGATTCATCTAAAGAGGATTAATGACTGCAAAGAACACATCATTCCACATTAGAAAACTGTTCTGGTTGTCCGAGCTCGGTGCTCACGCCTGTAATCCCAGCACTTTGGGAAGCCGAGGTGGGCGGATCACCTGAGGTCAGAAGTTCAAGACCAGCCAGGCCAACATGGCGAAACCCCGTCTCTACTAAAAATACAAAAAAATTAGCTGGGTGTGGTGGCGGGCGCCTGTAATCCCAGCTACTTGGGAGACTGAGGCAGGAGAATCACTTGAACCTAGGAGGAGGAGGTTGCAGTGAGCTGAGATTGCACCACTGCATTCCAGCCTGGGTGACAGAGGGAGACTCTGCCTCAAACAAACAAACAAAACAAAAAACCTGTTCTGGTCAAGTCTTAGTGTTTAAAAAGTCCATGGGCCTGGCGGGGTGGCTCATACCTGTAATCCCAGCACTTTGGGAGGCCAAGGTGGGCAGATCACCTGAGGTCAGGAGTTCGAGACCAGCCTGGCCAACATGGGAAAACCCAGTCTCTACTAAAAATACAAAAATTAGTCGGGCATGGTGGCAGGCCCCTGTAATCCTAGCTACTCAGGAATTTGAGGCAGGAGAATCATTTGAACCCGGGAGGCGGAGGTTGCAGTGAGCCAAGATCGCACCATTGTACTCCAGCCTGAGCAACAAGAGCAAAACTCCATTTCAAAAAAAAAAAGTCCATGGATGTAGAGACAGAAAGCAGATTAGTAGTTGTCAGGGACTGGCGAGAAGAGGGAGATGGGTAGTGACTGTTTAACGAGTATGGAGCTTCCTTTGGAGCTTCCTTTTGGAGTCATGAAAATGTTCTGGAACTAGAGAGTGGTGACAGTTGCACAACATTGTGAATGCCACTGGATTGTAACTTCAAGGTGGCTAAAAATGACCAATTTTATGTATATTTTGCCACAATATAAAGATAGGTTTTGTGGCATGCCTGCAGTCCCAGCTACTAGGGAGGCTGAGGCAGGAGGATAGTTGTTGCTCAGGAGAACAGCCTGGGCAACATGGGGAGACCCTGTCTCAGAAAAAAAAAGTCCATGGAGAGGACCATTTAAGATTATTATTATTTTTTTTATTTTCATGTTTTTGAGACAGGGTTTGGCTCTGCTGCCCAGGCTGGAGTGCAGTGGTGCAATCTCCGCTCCCTGCAGTCTCAGCCTGCTGGACTCAAGTGATCCTCCCACCTTAGCCTCCTGAGTAGCTGGGACTATGGGCTTGTGCCACCATGCCTGGCTGATTTTTGTATTTTTGGTAGAGATGGGTTTTTGCCATGTTGCCCAGGCTGGTCTCGAACTCCTGAGCTCAAGGGATCTGCCTGCCTTGGCCTCCCAGTGTTAGGATTGCAGGTATGAGCCACCATGCCCGGCCCATTTAAGATTATTATAAGCCGTTAATTGAATATAATCATGCATTACATCATGATGTTTCATTCAATGATGGGCCACATGTATGAAGGTGGTTTATAAGATTACAATGGAACTGAAAAATTCCCACTGTCTAGTGAAGTCTTAGTGATCCTCACCTGTGTAGGCCTAGACTAATGTGTTTATTTGTGTCTTAGTTTTTTCCTCTCCTCTCCCCTATGTCTTAGTTTTTAACAAAATTTAAAAATTAAGAAAATTGGGCCAGATGTGGTGGCTCACACCTGTAATCCCAGCGCTTTAGGAGGCTGAGGTGGGCGGATTACTTGAGGTCAGGAGTTAGAGACCAGCCTGGCCAACATGTTGAAACTACTAAATACATAAAAATTAGCTGGACATGGTGTTGTATACCTGTAGTCACAGCTACTTGAGGCTGGAGAATCACTTGAACCCAGAAGGTGGAGGTTGCAGTGAGCTGAGATTGCACCACTGCACTGAAGCCTCAGTAAAAAGAAAAAAAATTAAGAAAATTAAAAATAGAAAAAGGTATAGAACAAGGATATAAAGTATTTTTGCACAGCTGTGCAATGTGTTTTTGTTTTAAGCTGTTATTACAAAAGAGTCAAAGTTTTAAATACATTAAGCTGAAATTATTGAAGACAGAAAGTATGTTTAGTGTTGCCCAAGTGTACAGTGTTTATAAAGTTTACAGTAGTGTACAGTAATGTCCTAGGCCTTCACATTCACTTACCATGCATTCCTGACTCACCCAGAGCAACTTCCAGTTCTGCAAACTCCTTTCATGGTAAGTGCCCTACACAGATATACCATCTTAAGTCTTTTCTACTATATTTTTACTGTACCTTTTCTATGTTTAGATGTCTTTCTAAAATTATTATTATTTGTATTTTAAAAATAGAGGCAGAGTCTGTTTTGCCCAGGCTGGTCTTGAACTCCAGGGCTCAAGTGATCCTCCCCTCTCCTCTCCTCATCTCCCAAAGTGCTGGGATTACAGGCGTGAGCTATCCCACCTGGCCTAGATCGCTTTAAATACACAAATACCATTGTGTTACAGTTGCCTGCAGCATTCATTACAGTAACATGCTGTACAGGTTTGTAGCCTAGGAATAATAGGCTATACCATGTAGCCTAGGTGTGTAGTAGGCGATCCCATCTACGTTTGTGTAAGCACTCTCTTCCTTCAATGTTTGTGATATGAAACTGCATTTTTCAAGTGTTTCTCAGAATGTATCCCCATTTATTAAGCAATGCATGACCATACTTTTTAATGGGTTAAAAGTTTTACATGGATGGTCTTGGTTAATCTTCCAATTTTCAAGTAAACATTTATCTTATCCCTACGACAAGGCAACTGAGGCAGAGAGGTTGGCACAAGCAGTAGAGCTGGTATTTGAATCCAGAGAGTCTGATGCAGAACTCGTAGCCACTTGCTTATAGTGCTACACAAAGAACTGAATCAGTGTACCTTTTCTGTGTATTTCAAACTGTGAATTGGGTCAACAGCATTAAAAAAAAAAGTGGAGTAGCCAGGCACGATGGCTCACGCCTGTAATCCGAGCACTTTGGGAGGCCGCGGTGGGAGGCCGAAATCGGGAGTTCAAGACCAGCCTGACCAACATGGAGAAACCCTGTCTCTACTAAAAATACAAAAATTAGTTGGGCGTGGTGGTGCACGCCTGTAATCCCAGCTACTTGGGAGGCTGAGGCAGGAGAATCGCTTGAACCCAAGAGGCAGAAATTGCAGTGAGCCAAGATTGCGCCATTGCACTCCAGCCTGGGCAATGAGCAAAACTCATTCTCAAAAAAAAAAATAAATAAATAAATAAATAAATAAATAAAAATTTTTAAAAAGTGGAGTAGAGGTTGGGCACAGTGGCTCAA